ATACCAGCAAATGTGGATGATGATGAAAGACGCTTTCTATGCACTTGAACTGACTGGAATTGCTAATACGAACTGACTAACTCTCTAACTCATTGACTTTAAATGAAATGTTTATTTGAAAAAATAACTGGATACTAACAGCTAAAGATCTCCTTTCTTGGGCTTTTAGTCATAGTGTGGGTATATTTACTTTCTTTAATCCCGGGGTGCTATTCCCTCCCCTTTTCTGTTCTTTATAGTTTGTAGGGTGTAACAAAAAAATCAATAAAGCTACCCTGTCTTCAGGGGATTTAAAAAAAATAAAATAATGAACTCTATGTAAAGCAGTATAGGCACAGACTACAATTCATACGTTTCAAGCAATTGAGAGTTTCTTAAAATCCTTAAGATGAGAAGCTTTTGTTTCGGTGTTTCCTAAACACTCCAGTGTACTTTCTTGAGTTTTACTGGCTCTTCAGGTTCAGAAGGCAGTCTCTAAAGACACCCAACCAGGGATCACTCCACTCTTTGAGCTATCTCCATTTTTTAACTGGGTAGGGAATTTCTTCTCTCACTAGAAGATCTATCCCTTTTTCTGGCCTAAATGGGAGTCTTCACTGATCTACTCACTCCTCCTGCCAACCTTCCCAGTTCTCTGTCCATTATAAACTGCTCTCAGTCAGGACTAAACACAAACCCCATCAGCACCCAACTGGTCTCAGTTAGGGCTAGACTCAGACTGAATTCTCCTCAGCATCCAGTTATGAAGTCTTTCTCTGCTCAACTCATGTTAACCAATCAAATTCCTTTGAGCAGCCTGTCACTCAAGGCTCTCTGGCTCTGTAAGGCATTTAACCCTTCACAGTCCATTACCTGTTTACACAGCTCTTATGATCTTTTAAAGGGCAGTCCATAACAGAGGCTGCTTGCTACAATCAGCAGCTCAAACAACCAAAGCCTGGGCTGATCAATCAATAACAGATCATTATAATTTGTGGTGTTCTAAGTTCTGCTTATTTTTTAGCATCTGGTTTAGTTCTGGTATAATAAAAATGACATCATATGTAAATAATGCTGATACATTAAAATGTTTAAAGGGCTTCACAGAAATAATCTTAGCAATCCTTACAACAACCCTGTAAAATAGGCCAATATAATTAACCCCACATTGCAACTGACAGTGAAGCAGCTTGCCTAATTTAAGGCTTTTATAATTAAGACCAGACTTGAACTGAAGACTTATTTGTAGCAGTAAACATTTTCCAGTCCTTCTAAAAATCAGTGGTTCTTTGCTTATTAAATTGTCCTTATGTGTCCATACAAAAATGTACCTGATATATGTATCAATATATATACATTTAAATGTAGTCTATTAAGTAGTTAAAAGGCTAGTTATCAATCAATCAAAATTCATTAGCTGTACATTGCACTGGTTCTGCTGGGTACTCTGTACATTGCACTGGTTCTGCTGGGCTTCCAAAAATCTCCACCCCTTTCAGTTTCTACTACAGAGATTCACTAGTTTGACTTTAGTCCCTTGGAAACAAAGAAGATGGGGGCACCTTCTTTGTGGGGTAGTGTGTTTCTTAACAACCAGTCTGGTGAAGCCTGCAATCACTGTGATGCTTTGGCTAGTGTTTGTAAAAGTCAGTACAAAGGCAAACTCCTAGCTCTCAAAAATGCCTTGTAGATGTTTAGGATGGTCCTTTTGGGGGCTTAAAAATGGAGAACAGAAGCCCTCCCAAGTGCTTGCTCAGAACATGAGTGATGTGATAGATTTTTTTTGTTTATGGACTCAAGTCACAGCTGACTTATGGCAAGCCTGTAGGATTTTCAAGGCAAGAATCCTTTCGAGGTGGTTTGCCATTGCTTGCCTCCACGTTGGACCTGCTTAGCTTCTGAGATCTAAGGAAATCAGGCTGTCCTGGGGCTATCCAGGTCAGGGCTAGGCTGAGAGTAATGTGACTGGCCCAAGGTCACCCAGCAAGCTTCCATGGCACGGGTGAGGATTCAAACCTGGATTTCCCAGATCCTAGCCCAACACTTTAACCACTACACCACGCTGGCACCCGTGATGGAATAGGGTGTTGGAATCTGATTTTTTTTTTTACTGGCATGATTATATGCATAAAATTAAATACAATAAAATTTTCCCTGTCTGCCTTTCTTTTCTGGCCATTATTATTATCATCCGTTTTATTTCATGATTATTACTGTTGCATAGAGGAGGGGCCCTGACCTGGATAGCCCCAGCCTAGCCTGATCTTGTCAGACCTCAGATGTGAAGTAGGGCTGATATGGAGGCAGGCCATGGCCAACCACCTCTGAACGTTTCTTGCCTTGAAAATCCTAAGGGGCTGCCATAAAGTCAGCTGTGACTTGACGGCAAAACAATAAAACAAAACAGAGGAGAAATGTTAAAAAATTATCTGTCCTAGATGCTAAATAGGCTGGGTACACCACTGCCTGCCATAGTGGATCTCTTGGGGAACAGGTTTTAGTTACTACTCACCCAATGCTCTTCTGAAATGCTCACAAAACTCAGCTGATGTAGCCCTTTCCAGCGAACCATTTCCTGCAGACTCTAGAGACATGGTTGTGGTTACTTGAGGTTTTAACCCCAAACCAGACAGAACTCTTTATTTTTCACTCAACACGAAACCTCAAAGTGAAACTCAGGGGTGCAAAGCCTATGGACTAAAACCAAAACAAACATTTGTCAGCTCTTACATATATAGAAACCCAAGAATTACACACAGCTCTGGCAATGACCCCTGTTGGATGTTGGCCAGTAAAGCAAAACAAACATCCCTACCTTTGGTGCAATGAGCCAAGGGCTATTTAGTGGCTTCAGACTTACTGAAAGCCACTTCTTTGGTTGTACACATCATTGGTTGCATATTTTCCTCTCCCTGCTTCCTTATCTATACACAAACAGAAGAAGACACTTGCATCAGCAAAGTCCCATCAATGTAAGTTTGCTAAGGGTTCAGTTGTAGAAACAACAAGACCAAAACAGAAGACATCAAGTTCTATGCCCTACACTAAGGGAGTGGCTCACAGACATTCATTATAAGGAGCACGACTCATCTCTTTGTATTAACACTAGGACCAACCCAAATTCCACTTGCAATTTCTTATTAGCGTCTGAATGCTCAGGTGCAGCCGTTATGCCCTGAAAGCATCGCTGTGCTGCTCAAAGCAACAGAAGGAGGCAAGGGTTTCTTACTTCTCCACAGTGGATAGTGAAAAAAGGAACCAGGTGACTTGCAGTGTAATCCTAAAAAGAATTAGACCAGGGGTGTCGAACTCATTTGTTATGAGGTCCGGATCTGACGTAAATGAGACCTTGTTGGGCCGGGCCATGTGTGTCATGAAATGTAATGCCAGGTAGCAGAGATATAAACTTTATAAAGGACCCAAACAAGAAGGGTTTTTTTTTTACTTAAAATGAAATCATGCTTAAAACATTAGCGCTCTTGCAATATTTTGTTTATTTAACAGTGTCTGATAACTGACACCACTTCCCCGATGAATAAATCTGCAATATTCAATCTTCGATTACAAAACTTTAAACTAGTTACAAGGTGGTACATGACCCCGGTACAACTTAACAAAATCAACAGGTCCGGCAATTCCACGTGCTGGAAGGGCTGTGGGCGAGTGGGCTCTTACGTCCATTGTTGGTGGAGTTGCCCGGTAATTAGTCACTTTTGGAGGGAGGTCATCCCCCGAATTAAGGAAATGACTGGCCAAAGTATCCCCTTTACGCCAGAAACGGTCTTGCTGAACAAGTGGGATGACACCACGAAGGAAGATAAGAGACATCTCATGTCACTCCTGTTAACAACGGCCAAGTTATCAATAGCTGCGAAGTGGAAATCTCCAGATCCTCCTACATTATCTGCGTGGCATGATAAGATTTGGGAACAATTTGTCATGGCAAAAATTAATAATCAAAGTCGAGGGGCCCAAGCGTCATTCAACGCATCGAACGCAAAATTCAGGAGATTTTGGTCGCCGGTGGTGGATTACCTGACGAAGCATGAGATACTTCCCACAAACCATGCTTACCATAGATGGTTGTTCTTATAACTAGCTGGAGATTTCAGTTTCTGACTACGAGATGTTAGTCCAATTACACTGTACGTTAGGGAGCAGTGATTGAGGGAAGTTAGGTTGGAGAGTAGTCTCCGGAGTCCTAGAGTTTAACATGTTTACACAGTTGGGCATTAATACCTAGATTACGAATTCATTTTTGCATTTTTGGGGACATCACTTGTTCTTGTTCTGTCCTTATTGAGCTGTTACGTCCCCCCCTGTATTTGTGAGTACCATACAGTAAAATAATAAAAACAATTAAAAAATAAAATAAAATAACTGACACCACTTGCTCTGAATTATTGCATCAAAATGTCTGTGCTGTTGCAATCTTGAGTATGCTGTTCAGGAGTGTATCTGTAAGATGCAAACCTACGATGATGCAGCAGCATCAGAACTGGAAGAAGAAGCAGAAGACAGCCAGTTCCACTGTGAGTCTAATAGAAGCCCTCTGGGGGCCTGATCCGGTCCCTGGGCTGCATGTTTGACACCCCTGAGTTAGACCCTTCTAATTCCATTGAAGTCAGTGGTCTTAGAATGGTGTACATCTGTTTAGGATTACAGTGTTAGTCCCATTTCACAGGTAGATCACAATATGACCTTTTCTGTTTGGTGTAGTGATTAGGAATGCGGACTCTAATCTGGAACAGCAGGGTTTGAGTCCAGGTTCTCCGGAAATTCAGAGAACTTCCTTAAGCCATCATTGTAACATCATTGCAACACTATGGCGTTGTATCTCTATTTTGGGGGGCTTAAAAAATTCAAAATCACTCATCAGGGGTTGCAGGGAGTGGTTTAATGATGATGACAGTCCAATCATTGAAAAGTGGGCTGGAGAAGTGGGGGACAAGGAAAACCAATAGAAACATTGCGGACTAGGAAAAAGCAGACTCAAAACCAGCTTCCAGAAAAACATTGGAGTAAAAGTGGTCTCAAAAGAGCCAGAAAAAAAAGGGGGGGATGGGACACAAAGTGAAAATTAAAGGCACACAAATGCATGTGGAATTCAAGTAAACCAAAGCAGTATGGGACCAGAATAAAAAAAAGCACCCATGTGGAGAAGACCTGTATCTTTACACACATTACTGCAGATGAAGCCAGTCTGGAGGATCTGAGTGTAGGGCTACATATACTCTGGTGAGTTTGTGCAGGTTAATTTTACATCAGTTATTTACCTATGCAACAACTGTGTGATTTATACCAGCTTCAGCAGTGCAGACTCTACACTGTAGTCCAGTGTAGCTGCTCACTTGGAGCCTTCAAGGGCTCCCAGAGCAATGTCCAGACTAGAGTGTTCTGCACCACTCAGTCTCCGCTGTTCTACCCAGTACTGATTCCTGGAGTGGTAGCAAGAGAAGATCCAAACACACTCCAGGATGATCCGAGTAGTGTGTTTATAAGGCACGGGTCCCACAAATGAGGAGGCAGATGTATGTCTGGAGTGTAGGGGTGGCGTTTTTACAATTGACCATTCATCTGCATAACAAAATCACTTGTATACATGGTCCTTCCCTGGCTTACCACTTTTTTTATATACAAGGGAGAAAAATCGTATTAAGCTGATATATGATTTCCCCCCTCCCATCTGCAGGCTGAAATGGTGCAGTCTAAATAAAGCTTTCTCACGTAGTTAACTTTTAAAGAAATTCAGGCCTCAAGTAAACTTTTGAGGGTTTTTTTTACAAAAAAACATATTAGCAAAGATATGGGGGTTATTCAATGACACCATGCAACTTTTGATGAAAACATAATTCCTATCTTTCCTGCTTCCTTTCGAAAATTCCATTTCTTGGAAGTAATACAAAGCTGCAGTTGTAGCCACAGTAGTTTTGTTCTTTGGAGTTAAGCCATCCAAAGAATAATAGGCAGAGCTCATACAAAGGTTGCTTTCACACCCATTGGATAATGCACTTTCAGGGCACTTTTGCAATTGTAGCAACCTATCGCTAAAGTTAACTGAAACTGCATTGTGCACCCTAACCTGGATAGCCCAGGCAAGCCTGATCTCATCAGATCTTGGAAGCTAAGCAGGGCCGACCCTGACAAGTACTTGGAGGAGAGACCTCCAAGAAATACCTGTGCTAGGACACATATAAGCCACCTCTCTGAAATGTCCTAGTCCTACTAGGGGTCACCAGAAATCACCATGACTTCCAGGATCGCACACACAGAAAGCCAGTCAAATCCGACTCTAGGGATGCGGTGCTCATCTCCGTTTCCAAGCCGAAGAGCCATTGCTGTCCGAAGACTTCTCCATGGTCACGTGGCCGGCATGACTAGACGCTGAGGTGCACAGAACGCTGTTACCTTCCCACCGAAGTGGTACCTATTTATCTACTTGCAATTTCTTGCTTTCGAACTGCTAGGTTGGCAGGAGCTGGGGCCAGAGACGGGAACTCACTCCGTCATGCAGCACTCGGGTCTCGAACTGCTGAACTCGTTCAGCATCTTAACCACTTGAGCCACCGACCACAGAAAATTCTCACATACAAAAAAGAAAGTACGTTATACAATGTGTGTGAAAGCAGCCAAAGAGGGCAACAGGAAACAGTCTCTGGATAGGAAAAAAAAACCTGAGCTGCTTGAGGGGGATGCTAAATAACAGAAAGATGTCTTTCCTGAGCATGCATATTAGGATAGTCCCTAGCAGTACCATGTGCTTAGGCTCTCATGGAGAAGGCCCCCGAACCAATCTTAAATTATCAGCCATTTTCTTAAACAAATACATGCAAACAAGCTACCAAAAAGTGTGTTACAAACCTGAAACAGTAGAAGAATTCTCAGTGGCAGACAGGTCTGATGCTCACTCTAATCCTGTACAACCTTCTAGTTACTTGGTGGAGTCTGACTATGCCTGTAGGAAAACATGCAATGAAAAATTAAATAACACTTAACAGGACCAAGGTGTGATGGTGGATACATGAGCTTAGCCATTTAAGCAGACCCTAACCTAACAAAGTGTTAACATTTTGCTTTGGGCATCAGTCCAGTTTTCCTTTGCCAGCATAACACTGGAGGCCTTACAGGAAAACACATTACTCCAGCTCAAATGCAAGAACTATGTGGGGTTTTTTTTCACACCTGCCAGACACTTTGCCATAGACTTTGGGAGTGCAGTCAGGAAGCAAGCTTTTCCATCCCCAATACTGTAAACAAATAGTGCATGGCAGCCATCCAAGTGTTACAAGTGGGAATGGACTGAACTGTAACAAACAAAAACTGTATCCAGAAAAAAAAACAAGGGCTAAAAATTGAGATAACCCATCAGCAAAAACCCCACTTCTTTTTTGTTGGTTTGTTTTTGCTGCGAGACTGACATATTAAAAACTGCATATTGTTGTAAAACAAGCTCACATCACATAACCGTCAACAGTTACCAGGAAAACTTTAAAGATAGATCATAAACAATTCAGCATACTTTGGAAAACTTTCCATGAGCTCAGTCCACTGAACTGACCAGTGCTCTGCTAATGGATGACACAACGCCAAAAACAAATTGAAATGGAAGTGGCAATGATGGGTTGGGCACATCTCCTTTTTGAGACAACAGTAAGGGTACGACACAATAAGAATCCTGTTCCCACAGTTCTACGTCTGGTTTGTGGGTTGTAGGTCTATTCCCACAAACATTAGATGTTTCTCAGCTGCACTACTTCAGATTGCAGTGGGAGTTAAAAAAAAATCCTTCTACATGGGAAAAAAAGGATTTCAGGAGTCTAGTCTAACTTTCTGACTAATATTTAATGTGTAGACATTCAATCATGAGTCTCCAGCTCCAGTCTGAAGTGATATACCCAGGGGTCATTTCCTGCAGGAGCGCACAGGAGAGGAGCTCCAGCAGTAAAGAGCCCAGGGGGCGGGCACATGCAACAAGCCCCACCCCCTGCTCCCAGCAGCCCTCTGTCAGAGCAAGAAGCAGCCAGGTAAGTTGCAGAGCACCCTCCCCCGGCCTCCCGGCCCAAAACAATCCAGTGGCACGTTTAAGACCAAGTTTTATTCAGGTACAAGCTCTCCCTCCTCTGCAAGGACAGATCTGCACGTCCCCCCCCCCCAATAGCTAGCAATCCAAAACAGTCTAGTGGAGCCTGAGCAGTGGGTGTTGCCTTCTGATACACCTCCGGTGATGTCAGGGTGTGTGGCATATGCAAATAAGTTATGCTAATGAGTTATGCTAATGAGCTCTTGCACCTCTTTTTCTACTAAATGACCCCTGGATATACCTCGAGACTAGCCCCACCACCATGTCCTTGAGCCTGGGACAGAAAGAATGGTGAGCATCACCATGAAATTCTGGAAAATCCCAAGTTAAGCATCCTCCTGTGATGAGGGCAACTATCTCTAAATGGACACTCCCTTCAGACCCAAAGAAGATGTCTTATGGAATCATATCATAGAGTCACAGAGTAGGAAGGGACCCTGCAGACCATCTAGTCCAACGCCTTGCTCAATGCAAGATCAGCATAAAGCATCTCTGAATGAATCACCTCCTGCTCCAAGGTGGTGGACAAAAGTGAAGAATGGCTTTTGTTTTGGGGGAGAATCTAGCAGGCACCAGGGAGCACACTGGTGTGCACGATTGTGGATCACCGGCCTATAAACTGTTTGTGAGAATGAGTCCATAGGGATGTGGCTACACTGTACAGGCTTGCCTAATATGCCTTGGTCTCGCTGCGTGGTGTGACAATTACCCCTTTCCATGGACAGCCTCCAACTACTTGCAGCCACACACTAGAATTCCTTCTCAATCCTTTGTGAATGTGTGTGCGTGTGGCTCCCTCCTTGTGGAAAGGGCTTGTCTGAGGAAGTAAGGAAGGACCATACACTTCTTTCGGCCCATAGAATGAAATGTTCAGAACAACATTTTAAAAACAAGACTAGAATTCTAGAAGTTTGGAACTGCACTGGAGAGCACCATATAATGAAAGAGGACTGCACCTCACTGCAATCATTACTGTTAATTATAAACAGTTTTTGCCCTGACCTGGATAGCCTAGGCTAGCTGGGTCTTGGAAGCTAAGCAGGGTCAGCCCTGGTTACTTTTTGGATGGGACCACCAAGGAATACCAGGGTCACTACCAGAGGCAGGCAATGGCAAGCCACCTATGAATGTCTCTTGCCTTGAAAACCCTATGGAGTCACTGTAAATTGGCTGCGACTCGCATTATCCTATGTATTGTAATCTCTTTTCTGTATTGTGTATTGTATACCTTGCTTTAGATAGTGCTTTGTTTTCCTTGTTCTTTTGATTCCGCAATCCTAGTCCAATTGCATTTTTTGTTGGTTGTCTTACACTGTTTGATTGCACAAGATAGGTAGCCATGCTACTCTGTCTGTAGCAGTAGAAAAGAGTAAGAGTCCAGTAACACCTTAAAGACTAACCAAAAAAAAGGTTTGTCTGATTGCACTGTATTATATCCAGTTCCACCATATGTCTCAGTGAGAACTCCAGAACTATTAAGTAAATAAATAACCAGTTTTATGATGGTTCGAATTTGGAGTGCATATGTGCCCTAAAAAGCACGGAAATTCAATCCTGGTATACTTGTATTATCCTTTTGCCAACAGCCCGTTTTCATGCTGTCAATATACAGGAACATATATTAACTATTGTAAAAACTAAAATATACATATCTGATGTGGCAATGGGTCTGAAATCTTGCAAACTCTCTAAATGTTTAATCCAATTCAGAATTAACAGGTTCTTCTTTCATTAGAACACATTTTTAACTAAGATTTAATTTATAATAGGTTATTAAAACCTGATAGTGCCTAGTAGAGCAAAGTTTTCAGTTCTATGTAGGATAAAAGAAACAAATTAACACAAATTAAATGACACCTCTGTAATGCCGAGGGCTAAGGATAACTCAATTATTAAAAAGTTATTTGTCAGGAGAGTTTTCAACAAAAAGCACAGTTTCTACTTGCAAGACAACGAAAATAAAAACACAAATATGTTAAGATGATTAAACTTTCCTGTAGTTGTACATACTTATTGTTTGCATGACAAAGGCTCTTTTTATGCCTTTTTTGCTCTCAATGAACAACTCTAAAAGAGTCTTTAAATAGGGAACTTCTGTTTAATTCCACATATGATTGTTTTTAGTACACTCAGCCAGACTGTAAAAGTAATTACTGTACATGTCAAACAAGCATCTAGTGTAACTGGGCAGCAACTGAGACAGTACACAAGGGCCTATTTGCACATTCACAACCATGGGTGAGCTTCAGACACTGTGAGAGCAACAAATGACCAGGCGCTAGGCATAAATGGCCAAGATGCACACAGGGTAGCAACCAAAGGAGCCCTTCCACTTTTGCCATATATGCCAATGGAATGTCACTTACGTTGGTGGAAGAAACAGGACATGTAATTTTTGCCAATTCCCCTTTGCCACTACAGACTCCCAGCCTTTTTCATGTGAGTCCTTTGACTGCCCCCCCCCCAGCAAACTTTCACTGGGGGGGGGGCTCATGGGACTGCATCAGGAGGCAGGAATGACCAGTTCTGTAAACTGCTTGTGGTACTTTGGGTTTAACTCAGGAGTCTAGTCTCAGTCTGTACTATACTACTGTGAAGAAATGCATTTTTTCTTTGGAGGTTTGAAATTAGCAAAACCTTCACTCTGAGTTTTAAAAGCCCCCCCCCCTCCCTGGGCAGAGAACAGGTTGGAAGTCAGTTCAATTGCTTACCAGACTTACCTCAGCCCAAATTCATACAAATGCTAATAAGTCTAAGACAATGGTATGGTCAAACTTCCCCACCACCACCTTCAAGCAGGGAACAGAGATCTGGAGGTGTTAAATACTAGAGAGGCTTCTGGAAGAAAATTCTGGAGATTTCTGGAAAAGCTTCTCTGACCTGGCCTGACCTGGTCAGTAGATGGGGAAAAGAGAGCTGATAAAACTCAGGAGAGCAAGAAGGAAGCGGGGGGGGGGGAGGGGGGATGAACTTAGAAATCAATATGTAGTCTTTGGCTGCACAGTAGATTTTGGTTGTGTAATTTGAATCTATGTTACAGTGTCAGGGTCCTGGGGCGAGTCTGGTGGGGTAGAACCCTCCAGGGCTCAATTTGTAGCCAGCAGGCTGGTCTAGTCTCAGATAATGCAGGGGGAAGGGGTTCATTTGCACCGAATTCCTTCTCCCCGGCCAACAGCCCAGGAGCTCTCCTCTCTTGCTCTTCCTCCCGGCCTGCCTCATGCCTTCTGTTTAAATCTCTGCCCCAGGTGGGACCTTACCAGACTCACCAATCCTTCCCTCACCCAGGTGAGACTCATCGGACTGACAGCCCCTGAGCCTAGTAGAGTACTGCCTTTCTGTCTCCACCCCCTTCCCCTACCTCAACATTGGTGCAGCTTGCGTGGGGAGGGACCATCAGTTTGCCACCCTGCCCCATCTCTTTGCAGATGCGTAAAGAGATGCTTGTCAATGCTGTCGCAGATGTTTCATGTTTTCTCCTGACTGCCACCAACCTCTCTCTCCCCTGAGCTCTACAGTGAGCTCATGAACTTAGAAATCAATATGTAGTCTTTGGCTGCACAGTAGATTTTGGTTGTGTAATTTGAATCTATGTTACAGTGTCAGGGTCCTGGGGGCGAGTCTGGTGGGGTAGAACCCTCCAGGGCTCAATTTGTAGCCAGCAGGCTGGTCTAGTCTCAGATAATGCAGGGGGAAGGGGTTCATTTGCACCGAATTCCTTCTCCCCGGCCAACAGCCCAGGAGCTCTCCTCTCTTGCTCTTCCTCCCGGCCTGCCTCATGCCTTCTGTTTAAATCTCTGCCCCCAGGTGGGACCTTACCAGACTCACCAATCCTTCCCTCACCCAGGTGAGACTCATCGGACTGACAGCCCCTGAGC